AAAAGGAGTTTGCAGAAGGTGAACACAGCACTGAAGAAAAAGCTTGTGTTCTTAGTATCCTTTGACATAAATTAATACGCTTTAACAGATTTGTGTAAATCACTTTATTGCATAGAAATACTGAAACTATGAACCTATTGGATTTACTCTCTTCCCCATCTACCAGAATAAAATGCCCTGTTCTCCTTCACATTAGCCTTGTATACATGCTGGGTCTTCACTATCACATGGCCTTGACTGGATTGTTGCCTTTCCTGCTCTCTCTTTTTTTTTTTTTTTTGAATAAATTAAAATTGTCACTCTTTCATTACACACTGTTATGGTGATTTTCTTCCCCCTGCAATTTCCAGTTTCCCTTGGTTGCAGTTTTGCCCTTCAACAGGCGTAGAGTATAAGGTGAATAAAAGAAGCACCCAGTGAAAATAGGCCAGATAAGCATTGTGCTGCTGCAGCAGAAGAGGTGAAGTCTTCGTGGTAACATTGAGGAATATCCTTGAACTTTCTGACTTTATCTCATCCTGCCGCCACACTTATTTATGGGACTTGTTTTGCATGAAATTTATCTTGTGTGCAGAGGCTGTTGTAAATATTTTAACTTCTATGTACTTAATGGGAATAAACTGAAAACACATGGACATCAAAGTATTTAACATTTTCTCTGTTGCTGGTTTGATGATATGGTTTCTTTGGGAAGCCAATTGTGCATTTACACTGTTTATATTACATAAAAGTAACCTAAATAATGAAGAATAATAATTGGCTGACTGGTTATGTAGCTGAGGTATTATGTGACCCTGTTTTTATAAAGCACTAAGCAAATTGAAATCCATCTATCAATCAGAAACTTTCATCGCTAAAACTGGTATCAGTGTGATAAAAACCAACAACAGTACAGACAGGTACTGCTTGATACACAAGTCCCTGTGGCTATTTGGTGCAAAGAAAACAATTTTAGACATACAACTGTGAAAGTGTTTCTGAACTGCATCAAGCTGTGAGCAATCAGGCAGCGCAAGTCTCAAGGTAAGCACTTGTTTCAAAAACTGTAATTAGAATTATTTTAAAAGGATTAATTACACTTTTTGGAATGAATAATGAGTCTCAGAGACATGTTGTAGCTTTCCTTGACGTATAATTAAATCAAAATGGCAGGTCAAGTGAAATAACTGGTTGGCTTATGAAACACATTCCTACATATTTAAATAAATACCAAATGTGGTATTAAATCAACTAGCGACAATATTTTGAAATTGATATTGAAAATCTTTAGAAATTTTTTCAATAAATTGTGCAAATATTATGTGGAAAACGCAGATGGACACGATAGGTATAGGCATGCATAATGAATACCATACATACATAAATATATGAACATATAAAGTATTATAAATAATATATACATACAGTGCATTTTCCTTTCCTTGTCTGCATTTTATATAAGGTCATTTTTCTTTGATACCTGCTGAAATCCATCACATTATAACAATAAAAAGCTCTCATCACACAATTTTATGTAATTTGAGAACGAAATCCAGTCATTTGTGTTAAATGACACATCATCTAATTTAAAGGCTGATTTCACCCCGTGAATTCAGTTCAATAAGCTTGATTGTAACCATTGTTTAAAGAGAATAAAATTAATGTCTGTATTCTATACATTGTTCAGGGTGACTGGGGACAAACACCTGTGAGAGGGAGGGAGGACTGAGGCCCATAACCCAGCATGTGATGTGCTGAACGGCGAGAGGCGGGGACGCAGACAGGTCCCTCATGGGGAACACTCCAGCCTGTACTAGAAACAGTAATCCCGTTACTGACACCAACCAACGGGACTCAGTGTCAACGACGCGCATCGCTATTGGACGCAGTGAGGGTTGGACTCGTGCACCCCGCCGACTGTTATCCAAACGCAGGGAGCGCGTGTGGCCAGTCGCTCCTCGGTGCGCGCTGGATATGGATCAGGACGCAGCGCGCCTCCCCGCCGTCTGCCGCGGACAGGCTGCTCGTCGCGGCGCATAAAAGGTGTCCAGATGAACCGCCGCCCTCCCGGCTCCTCCGGCGTGCAATGGCTTAACAGGAGAGACATGAGTGTCCGGACGGATGACACCATCACCTTGTGCCAAAGGGCTCTCCAAATCGTTACGGAACTTTGTCTCACGGGGCACGTCGACCGGGAGAAATGTTCGGATATTTTCCCCCTGGAGAGCAACATACTAGGTAAAGGACATGCAGGTAAATGGAATAAAGTCACTATTTTCTTCCCACCTTTTCAATTGATCACTTTCCTCTGTTCTTCCGAGTTAGTTGCAGGTTTTGGAGAGAAAGGGAGAAACTAATCTCAAACTCGAAACGAGTTCAAACTTTACTTGGTTTGATTTGTTTTTATCGGGTCGAGCAGTTCTGAGAGTGTTCATCTACCTGTTACGCATCTTGCAGCAGCAGCTCAGTGCGCACTGATGAAATAGCAACAGGTGATCAAACAGACTGAGGGGAAATGATCTGTTTTTCTTTCACCACGCTGCTCCGTTTCACTTTGCAGTCTGGTTTATTGACCCGTTTTAAGGAGCTGCATGTATGAGCTGAATTAAGCTTCTTTGCATATCCAGTCTGTGCAAACTTTGCATCTAAACATCAGTAAGAACAGGAATGTCTGCAGCACACAGGAGCTCAGAATGATATCTCTCCTCTTCATGTGATATTCTTGTTGCTGTGGCTCTTTAACTCCAGTTTTATATGACTTTATATTGTCCTGCTGTATCAAACAGGTGCATATGCTGCCCCCTCTTTCTTACAGCTTGCTTTCTCTCCTTTTTTCTCCCTCTCCCTTGCATGTTTGTCTGTCATATTTTGTCCCTCGCCTGCTTCTCCTATCCTGTCTATTTGTCCCCTCTTGCGTCTTCCTCTGTGGGTTAAATGTAGACATCTCTATCAGTCTCCTTGCTGTGGTCGTGGGTTTCTGTGGCCTCGCCCTGTTGGTAGTCTCTCTCTTTGTGTTTTGGAAGCTGTGTTGGCCCATTTGGAGGAGCAAGGCTCTGTCAGCCCACGCTGAAAATGGCCTCCATGTGGGTTTCCCCGAGATGCCTCCACCCAACTCCCCGGCGGTCACGGAGTGTAAAGTGGCGGAGGTGGAAAAGAAGTACCCGCTGGAAGTGAAGGCGAACGGACGGAGCTCTGTCAAGCTCTTGGAGGCGGCCATGAAGATCAGCCAGACGTCTCCGGACATCCCTGCCGAGGTGCAAACAGCCCTGAGGGAGAAGCTCAGCCAGCAGGCTAAAATCCAGAGGCAGACCACTGAGCCAACGTCCTCCTCCAGGTACCCTCACATTAACCAACTGCAGCCAGCCCCCCTCCCCATTTACCCCTGCACTGAGGACATAATGGTGGCTATTTATACACAGCGCATACTGCTGCTTACAATTACTGTAGAATAGTAGCCTTTTCAAGCCCTCTTTGGGGTTTGTTTTACCCACCCCTGCCTCATACATATCTGATGCTCACACAGTGCTGACAGTTCGTGACAGCGTTGCCACTGTGCCCGAGGTGGATTTGGCACGTGTCATGCAGATCATCAGTGACTGGCTGGTGACCTTGAGATGCTGTTGCACATGAAAAATATCTAATTCTGAAGCATGTCTGAAATGTCCTCTTACCGCAGTTTGAACCCTATAATCACTTGTATGTGTGAGTCAAGCTGCTATGGTAACGACGGGAAGCAACCCCAGTAATTAAACAATCAGCTCGTGTTTCTCTTTGTTTTCCAGTACTGTGTTTAAACTAGAACGTCCATAATTAGCATTGCTGTGGGGAGGGAGCTGTCATAGTGGAAGGTTGGTTTCTTGTGAGACACACCAGGCAGCTGTGCTCAGTTTCTTAGAAAAAGTCGTTATTGACACTTGCTTTGGTTTGTCGTTTGGCTCGTTAATTAAATTATACTGCCACCAAGGTCTTTATAAATTACACACCCACCAGTGATGCAGAAAGGCCAGGTTAAAGATTACTACGCCTACTTTCTCAAACCTTCCGCCTACTTTCGTGACATTGATTCTTGACTTAATGTGGCAGCGGTTTCACTGATTATCTTCCTTTGAATGACAAAACGTCCTAAATGCAAACAACATGCAACAGTAGCTCAATTACTGTTTCAGGTCTAATTTTAGCTCAAGTGGTCTAACACGCTATAGAATATTAAAGCTATAACACCAAAGAAAAAGACGGGATGGTCCTGACTTCCTTTTTAAAGCATTTATGACTTGTTGATGGAAATAATGGTCTTCGTAATATTTGTATGAAAACTGATGACCAGCCAGTCAGCCAATTATCTGGGTTCAAATGCAGAATTTTGAAACATACTTTTGAAATACGGCGAAAAACAAAACAAAAACAAGCAAACAAATAAATGTGGCTTGTTTCCACTAACTCCTCTGGAGTGAATAAACTAGTATTCATTATCAAGTGGTACTGTACATGTTTCATGCTGTCAGGAGATGAAGACAAAAGTAGCATAAACCACTAATCAGTTATGCAAGTTCAAAGTTCCCTACATCACTGCTAATATTTGGATGAAAGCCCAGTCGCTGCTGCTTTTCTTTTGTAAAGACCAAGGCTCACTATTTTGAGGGGACACTGTTGCTGCATCCTGGGCTTAGCTCTGCCCAAGACGATTATGATTGGTTTACAGAAATCTGAAACAAGGTTGTTCGGATAGTTTTTTTCCCCTATAGAATGATAATGAAGTGCAGCCACACCACTGTCTACTACAGAATGGCTTGGCTAAGCGAGACCAGGAGAAGACAAACGACGATGTCACTAACCCAACGAGGGCTGAGTTGTGTAGGTTAAAGTTGGATTAAAAGTTGACAACATGCAAATATGACGAGCATTAAAGCAAATTATTAGTGCTAATCTGTGTTCAATGAGTGACTCTGTTGTGGTATTTCAGGCATTGTTTCCCATTTCCTTTACATTTTGTGCTGGCTCTTAGACAATGTCCCACCTCTTTATGTTATGTACAATAGTTGAGTGTAGTATTTAATTGTAGGCTTTGCGTATGGCTTGTGCCATATCATTTGTGTCATGACTGCCAGATCACTGTGATTGTATTACTGTCAGAAAGGAGGAGGGCCAGTTGCTAGGTGACAAGATTGGCGAGTCAATCACAGCAGTGGTTTTCTCAAAAGATGTCAATTTTCCTGAAGTTTGGTTTGCAGCATTCAGGTAATTGGCACTGGGGTTTAAATATGAATGCAGGAGAGGTTTTTTGATATCCAAAAATCACAGAGAGTGGTGGCAAAAGTTTGTCGATTTCATCCATTGTGATTTAATATTGCTGGTGCAATTTTCTGAGCAAAACCAGCTGTTTTTTTGCCAAAACAATGAATTGGATTTGAAGTGTGTCTCCTTTAAGTCTAAAAAAAATCAAGTATGTGATGTCTTGATTTTAAACTACACACATAATAAGCTTCAAAAGGACAATATTGGGGTTGTTACATCAATCACATTGATATCTCTGCCCTTAGAAGTGTTATCACTGCTAAGTGGGATTGAGTCATAGTGGGAGCAACAGCTACTTTAGGCCTCTGGTAATTTGGCACTACAGTATATCAGGGTGAGTATCAGGTTTACTAAAAGTTTATATGCTGCTATACTCGATGTTTGTGCTTTGTCCTGAGGGCTAAAGACCGATGGTGGTTTCTAAGCTGTTCCACCAAACTGTAATGTGAGCTCCACATTATTATGCATGGTTTTTAGATGTAGTTCTCTCCTGACAAACCATTAGCACCCATCACAACAAAGCCACTCATGCGTAACACCAAACACACTCGAGACATTTACCAGATGCCCTCTACCCTTTTCAACAGGCACAATTCATTCCGGCGCCACCTGCCTCGTCAGATGAATGTCACCAGCGTTGACTTTAGCATGGACACAGTGCCTCTCCGCCAGTCTTCTACAGTGAGCATTGGAAGAATAAAACCAGAGCTCTACAAGCAGAAGTCTGTGGACTCAGAGGATGAGGCCAAAGAACCCGTGGAGACTTGTGGAAAGCTGAGCTTCTCGCTTCGTTACGACTACGAGGAGCAGGCTTTGGTGGTGAGAATCCTCAAGGCCTTGGACCTGCCCGCCAAAGACTTCACAGGCACCTCCGACCCCTACGTGAAGATCTACCTGCTACCTGAGAGGAAGAAGAAGTTCCAGACGCGAGTCCACCGCAAGAATTTGAACCCCATGTTTGATGAGACCTTCTCTTTCCCCGTGGTGTACGACGAGCTTTGCAACCGCAAACTGCATTTCAGCGTCTACGACTTTGATCGGTTCACTAGCCACGACATGATTGGCGAGGTGGTGGTGGACAACCTCTTTGAACTCTCTGATCTTTCCAGGGAGGCGGTGGTGTGGAAGGATATCCACGCAGCAACTACGGTGAGTAGGTGTTTACACTAAGACACTGCCAAACCCTCACATACGGGGACAATGCTGCTGTACAAAAAATGTTGCACCAAGCTTCTGTGCTGCCACTGAGATTAAAACAAGTAGTGAATGGAAATGGAAAGGTCTGATCAAGAAGTATTGTCCTGACTGAGTGTTGAGAGCCTGAACTCTTCAATTCTTTTCCACAGAAGTGGCAGGTCGAACACACTGTATAATTCAAATGCTTTGGGAAATGCATTTCATCAGGCAAACACCCACACACATTTTCCAGAAACTGCTGGGTATTCTGCAGACGTAATTATAGCAACATGAGAGTAAAAATATCCAGCATCAGGTACATATGACAACCAATCAATCTCTAATGCAGGTAGACAAACAGAGTACTGCAGGCAGCCTGTCCTCATATGAACTCCTTCCAGAGAAGATGTTAGTAATTTAGACCGAATGCATTTACTTCTGCATTAACACTAATCATAATTTGCTCATTAGCCTGTGCTTTACTGATAAAACAATACATATTATAAACACTAAGCCTTTGTTTTCAGGTCACTGAAGCTTCTGTCGACTAAATAAGTTGTAGAAAAACAACACATTTTTACTTTGCACAGAGATGAACTCAACTGGATTTTGTCTATCAAAAAAATGTTCAAGGTATTTATTTGCCTTCACATGAGAAGGTTGATGTATGTTGCTGTTTACTAAAAGCACAGATATTTAGGGTTGTCAAAGTTTATTATAACAAATGATCACATCAGTGGTTTCAGGCATCTGTTCCTTCATTTGTGGTTTTAAGGCTACTTTCAAAGACTGCAAGGAGATTATTCAAGGCTGATGTTCCTTCAATACTTGGTGCACTGAAGCTCCAAGGACTTGCTACACTATGCCAACACAGCCCTGTCTCCTAAACAATACGTTCCTATACAACTAATCTTTACATCCTGAGAGAAATACATTTTCTGCTGGACTATATTTGTCTCTGATGCATCACAAATACATTTCAAATCAACATGTTTTTGCCATTTACTCGATCAATGTACTGTCAGCCAACCAATCACATATTAGATGGGCTTCAGTTACTGTATGGTATGTGTACGTCTAACAGAGAGCTTTTATGATACATGAAGCATTTCCAAAGGGTTTGACAGTATAGGACTGTAAAATACGAGGTATTTGTTCAACTTTATGTTCGACTATAATTATACACATTACAACATCAGAGACCTGTGCTGCCAACAAGTGTGAAAATGTAGTCTTAGATAAAACCTTGCTCAGCTACAAAGAAAATTGCTGTATTGCTTTCAAGGTTTTCAGTTTTCATGGAGTTTAGTTCTCACATAAAAAAAAACCTGACCTGTTGGTTTCAAAAGCGAGATGTAAAATGTTTAATTTTGCTGCTCTTTGCTGCTCTTTGCAATGAGTCATCACAAAGTTTTCTACCTTGCTAGAACAGGGATGTTTAGGTTTGGAAGCACAGTAATAACAACTATAACTCAGGCTGGATACTGTCTGTAATGAAAGGCCAGAATTAGCACAAGTTTTAGCAAAAGCTACTGAATGAACAACATCAACATTAACTAAGTTAACTTAATTAACTTAACAACCTGTACCTACAACTTTCACGGTGTTGATTAATACTGAAATCATGACTTTTACGCCAGACTTTAATATATTTTCACTTTACTTTCCAGCTTTAATACATGTTAGCACTGTTTTTTCTTTTGATAGCAAATAAAACCCCTGATAAGCTTAGCAAGTAAAGCTTATCAGACAAAATGAAAAGCTGACAGCCGTGGTAGCTGCTCTGTGAAGTTAACATGCTCACAGTGGTGATATTAATATGTTGATTTTTATCAGATACTTAGTTTACCATGTAAGTATGCTAACAATTAATAATTACTACTTAACATAAAGTACAGCTGGTAATACGAATGCCATCAGCTATTCGAAGATTTGGTCAAAAACAAATGTTTTAATTAAAGCAAATTAAACAAACGGGCTAAAATGTTGACCTGATGATGGTGTTAGATTAAATGTTTTTGTTTGTTTTTTTTTAAATATTGCTCTAAAAACCAAAAATGTCAACCCCACTGTGGCTCCTTTTCGGTCATTAATTTAAACCGTAAAAACTTATTTCTGTGTATCAAAGTTACATATTTAAAGGTTTTTCAATGAAAATAACCCCTTCATGCCTTAAAATGACTTAGATGTAACTCTAAACTGTTGCTTCCTCTAGAATGAGCGAATATTCCCGCCTCAAGCATTAGAAAACTACAGTACACTACACAGTTGTAATATTGTAGTGATTCAAGTTGGCAGAATTAGTTCCTTTGGTTTGTTACACATGGAAGTTTGAGACGATCATCAGTACACTGCATTGTCAAAGTAAAAATGCTCAGTCATAGAGTTTACTACTTATTTTTGTAATGATGTGTTTTCTAGTATTAAAAAAAAACCAAAACACCATATGAACATGTTAACAAGACAAAAAAAAAAAACATGATTTTTACCAGAGAGGGAAATTCAGGGACTTATAATACAAAGTAAAATTCAGCCTCTGTTGACCGTAACTGTCTGTACAAAACTAAATGTCAAACCATCCAATAACTGTTAAGATATGTCTGTTTGGACCAACCAACAGTAGCATCCCCAGAAACAGCAATTAGGAACCTAGTGCTCAACATCTAGCAGATCAGATAACGGTGACAAATAAAAAAAGACGCATAGTTAATTTCAGCTGCCTATACAGCACTGAACGATTGAAAGAGACAGATATCATAATGGCCTACGATGCCACGCTAATTAAACGCTCAGTACTGGTGACCAAATGTGACCTACGTTACACCAACCCAGTCTCACGGCAATTTGTGAAATAGTCACGAAACTTAATCTATTGATTCGTGTTCAGGGACACGATTTGCCCACATTTTTCGGGGTTCCCAGCACAAATTTAAAACCTTGTCATTATGTTCATTTCTCTGTAAACAAATACAACTCTGAAAAGAAGGACACATGCAGGAAAACAGCAACTGGAAGATGTACTGTGATCGCAGCAATGAATATTCTGACTGTTGTAACTGAGAGGCCAGCGGTGGGGAATGTATCTGGAGCTTTGTGAAGCTTTTAGCTCGCTTTACCCCCCCTTTGGACCCAGCCCTGTGTCAAGTGTAGTTTTCCAGGAGACGTGTGAAGTTCAAGTGGATAAAATTAAATTAAAATAATTTTGTTCAACATAGTGGGTAAATTCTTCAATGAAAGCTTTGTTTTGACTTGCTGGAACCCATGGAGGTCATTTTTGGCGTCATTAAAGATGTTTTCCTGGTTAAATCCTGTTTCATACTATCCTAACCCCAACATTGAGGACATCCTTACCGGCTGCTTTATCTCTTCAGGAAAACAATTTCAGGGTTACACTCATTTATGTGTTTTAACAACAGTCATGTGGCTATATGGCTATACAGAATGTAATAATAATAATAATAACAACAATAATAACAATAATAATAACTTTATTTGTATAGCACCTTTAAGAACATTTCACAAAGTGCTTTGACAAGTAGAACATAAAATACAGGTAAAATGTCAGACAGGACGGGGCAAACCCAGGTAAAAACAATAAAAACTGCATGAAAACACATGTAAATACACACTGAAAAAAAAAAAATGTACAGAAAGGACAGGTAGTTAAAAACTGGTTAAAAGGACCAAATCACACAAGGGGGGTTAAGAGAGAAGCTGAATTTAAAAAATCAAGGATTAAAATGTGTTAAGATATGTAGCAGTTACTCCATGGCTTCTCATTTACCATAAATACACGATTATGTTATAAACACTCTCTAAGAGCCATACACATATATGTACAAGCAAGGCCTAATTTCTGTTGTAGTTACTCATTGCTTTTTCTTATTAAATGAGATTAAATGGTAAAAATTTATTTTCACCTATATGTATGAATTTCATTTGTAAAGTCAGTCCAAATAAACGTGTTCCTCATCAATTTAAACCCCTAAATCCATTTCAAGTTTTACATTTCATCCTCCATTTAGGAGAAACGGCTATTTTGAAGGAAAGAACTACAACTTCCAGTGGCGTTACAATACAACATGATTGGACACGCCATGAAATATGTAGTTCTTCTTGGGGTTTACAACTACGGTTGTGTTTTTGTATTAATAGACTAATATAAACGGATTGAAGTACTGACAAATGTGCTACTGTTAAGTTATAATACGTGTAGTATGAAATAAGTGTAAAAGAGTACATCGTATTGTGGTATTTTTATAACACTGGCAGTGTTTGGGGAAAATATGTGCTCGGAAGAAGAAGAAGAAGAAGAAGAAGAAGAAGCCAGGCTGAGCTAACAGCGAATGTAGACAGTCTTGATGAGCGAGCTAAAAGCTTCACAAAGCTCCACATACATTCCCCACCGCTGGCCTCTCCCTTACAACAGTCAGATTATTCAACGCTGCCATCACAGTACATCTTCTGGTCACTGTGTTCCTTCATGTGTCCTTCTTTTCAGAGTTGTATTCGTTTGCAGAGAAATGACAGTGACGACGAGCATGTAGCCCAAACACAGTAAAAGCACTTATATTTTACCACAAATAAACGATAATAGCTATGAACGATATCGTTTTTGCCTTTTTCTATTTGAATGAATGCGGAGTTTATACACAGCGCCGACGTTTACAAAATGTTAACATTGGTCAGTGTGGGCGCACACATCTGTATAGTGATCTCTATAGTTATTAGTGGGGACAGGAAACAACAGGAAAACTGGTTAATGCCTGACTGTTGGAAGAAAAGAACTACAAAAACATCAAAGCATATGCGCTGTCTAATAGGGGAAAAAAACGTGGCCCAGACAGGAAAGATAATCCCAGCTGACATGTATTGGTTTGAAATTTGTGCCAGGGACACGAAAAATTTGGGCAAATCATTTCCCTGGACGCGAATCAATAGATCAAGTTTCGTGACTATTTCACGAATTGCCGTGAGACTGGATTGGTTACACGCCGACCTGTTTATGCCTCTGCTGTGGCATTTTGATTCACAGAATGTGGCTGAACCATTTAAAATGTGCTAAATGGATTCTGGTGTCTTTCTTTTTTTGTCCACCANAAAAGGAGTTTGCAGAAGGTGAACACAGCACTGAAGAAAAAGCTTGTGTTCTTAGTATCCTTTGACATAAATTAATACGCTTTAACAGATTTGTGTAAATCACTTTATTGCATAGAAATACTGAAACTATGAACCTATTGGATTTACTCTCTTCCCCATCTACCAGAATAAAATGCCCTGTTCTCCTTCACATTAGCCTTGTATACATGCTGGGTCTTCACTATCACATGGCCTTGACTGGATTGTTGCCTTTCCTGCTCTCTCTTTTTTTTTTTTTTTTGAATAAATTAAAATTGTCACTCTTTCATTACACACTGTTATGGTGATTTTCTTCCCCCTGCAATTTCCAGTTTCCCTTGGTTGCAGTTTTGCCCTTCAACAGGCGTAGAGTATAAGGTGAATAAAAGAAGCACCCAGTGAAAATAGGCCAGATAAGCATTGTGCTGCTGCAGCAGAAGAGGTGAAGTCTTCGTGGTAACATTGAGGAATATCCTTGAACTTTCTGACTTTATCTCATCCTGCCGCCACACTTATTTATGGGACTTGTTTTGCATGAAATTTATCTTGTGTGCAGAGGCTGTTGTAAATATTTTAACTTCTATGTACTTAATGGGAATAAACTGAAAACACATGGACATCAAAGTATTTAACATTTTCTCTGTTGCTGGTTTGATGATATGGTTTCTTTGGGAAGCCAATTGTGCATTTACACTGTTTATATTACATAAAAGTAACCTAAATAATGAAGAATAATAATTGGCTGACTGGTTATGTAGCTGAGGTATTATGTGACCCTGTTTTTATAAAGCACTAAGCAAATTGAAATCCATCTATCAATCAGAAACTTTCATCGCTAAAACTGGTATCAGTGTGATAAAAACCAACAACAGTACAGACAGGTACTGCTTGATACACAAGTCCCTGTGGCTATTTGGTGCAAAGAAAACAATTTTAGACATACAACTGTGAAAGTGTTTCTGAACTGCATCAAGCTGTGAGCAATCAGGCAGCGCAAGTCTCAAGGTAAGCACTTGTTTCAAAAACTGTAATTAGAATTATTTTAAAAGGATTAATTACACTTTTTGGAATGAATAATGAGTCTCAGAGACATGTTGTAGCTTTCCTTGACGTATAATTAAATCAAAATGGCAGGTCAAGTGAAATAACTGGTTGGCTTATGAAACACATTCCTACATATTTAAATAAATACCAAATGTGGTATTAAATCAACTAGCGACAATATTTTGAAATTGATATTGAAAATCTTTAGAAATTTTTTCAATAAATTGTGCAAATATTATGTGGAAAACGCAGATGGACACGATAGGTATAGGCATGCATAATGAATACCATACATACATAAATATATGAACATATAAAGTATTATAAATAATATATACATGCAGTGTATTTTCCTTTCCTTCTCTGCATTTTATATAAGGTCATTTTTCTTTGATACCTGCTGAAATCCATCACATTATAACAATAAAAAGCTCTCATCACACAATTTTATGTAATTTGAGAACGAAATCCAGTCATTTGTGTTAAATGACACATCATCTAATTTAAAGGCTGATTTCACCCCGTGAATTCAGTTCAATAAGCTTGATTGTAACCATTGTTTAAAGAGAATAAAATTAATGTCTGTATTCTATACATTGTTCAGGGTGACTGGGGACAAACACCTGTGAGAGGGAGGGAGGACTGAGGCCCATAACCCAGCATGTGATGTGCTGAACGGCGAGAGGCGGGGACGCAGACAGGTCCCTCATGGGGAACACTCCAGCCTGTACTAGAAACAGTAATCCCGTTACTGACACCAACCAACGGGACTCAGTGTCAACGACGCGCATCGCTATTGGACGCAGTGAGGGTTGGACTCGTGCACCCCGCCGACTGTTATCCAAACGCAGGGAGCGCGTGTGGCCAGTCGCTCCTCGGTGCGCGCTGGATATGGATCAGGACGCAGCGCGCCTCCCCGCCGTCTGCCGCGGACAGGCTGCTCGTCGCGGCGCATAAAAGGTGTCCAGATGAACCGCCGCCCTCCCGGCTCCTCCGGCGTGCAATGGCTTAACAGGAGAGACATGAGTGTCCGGACGGATGACACCATCACCTTGTGCCAAAGGGCTCTCCAAATCGTTACGGAACTTTGTCTCACGGGGCACGTCGACCGGGAGAAATGTTCGGATATTTTCCCCCTGGAGAGCAACATACTAGGTAAAGGACATGCAGGTAAATGGAATAAAGTCACTATTTTCTTCCCACCTTTTCAATTGATCACTTTCCTCTGTTCTTCCGAGTTAGTTGCAGGTTTTGGAGAGAAAGGGAGAAACTAATCTCAAACTCGAAACGAGTTCAAACTTTACTTGGTTTGATTTGTTTTTATCGGGTCGAGCAGTTCTGAGAGTGTTCATCTACCTGTTACGCATCTTGCAGCAGCAGCTCAGTGCGCACTGATGAAATAGCAACAGGTGATCAAACAGACTGAGGGGAAATGATCTGTTTTTCTTTCACCACGCTGCTCCGTTTCACTTTGCAGTCTGGTTTATTGACCCGTTTTAAGGAGCTGCATGTATGAGCTGAATTAAGCTTCTTTGCATATCCAGTCTGTGCAAACTTTGCATCTAAACATCAGTAAGAACAGGAATGTCTGCAGCACACAGGAGCTCAGAATGATATCTCTCCTCTTCATGTGATATTCTTGTTGCTGTGGCTCTTTAACTCCAGTTTTATATGACTTTATATTGTCCTGCTGTATCAAACAGGTGCATATGCTGCCCCCTCTTTCTTACAGCTTGCTTTCTCTCCTTTTTTCTCCCTCTCCCTTGCATGTTTGTCTGTCATATTTTGTCCCTCGCCTGCTTCTCCTATCCTGTCTATTTGTCCCCTCTTGCGTCTTCCTCTGTGGGTTAAATGTAGACATCTCTATCAGTCTCCTTGCTGTGGTCGTGGGTTTCTGTGGCCTCGCCCTGTTGGTAGTCTCTCTCTTTGTGTTTTGGAAGCTGTGTTGGCCCATTTGGAGGAGCAAGGCTCTGTCAGCCCACGCTGAAAATGGCCTCCATGTGGGTTTCCCCGAGATGCCTCCACCCAACTCCCCGGCGGTCACGGAGTGTAAAGTGGCGGAGGTGGAAAAGAAGTACCCGCTGGAAGTGAAGGCGAACGGACGGAGCTCTGTCAAGCTCTTGGAGGCGGCCATGAAGATCAGCCAGACGTCTCCGGACATCCCTGCCGAGGTGCAAACAGCCCTGAGGGAGAAGCTCAGCCAGCAGGCTAAAATCCAGAGGCAGACCACTGAGCCAACGTCCTCCTCCAGGTACCCTCACATTAACCAACTGCAGCCAGCCCCCCTCCCCATTTACCCCTGCACTGAGGACATAATGGTGGCTATTTATACACAGCGCATACTGCTGCTTACAATTACTGTAGAATAGTAGCCTTTTCAAGCCCTCTTTGGGGTTTGTTTTACCCACCCCTGCCTCATACATATCTGATGCTCACACAGTGCTGACAGTTCGTGACAGCGTTGCCACTGTGCCCGAGGTGGATTTGGCACGTGTCATGCAGATCATCAGTGACTGGCTGGTGACCTTGAGATGCTGTTGCACATGAAAAATATCTAATTCTGAAGCATGTCTGAAATGTCCTCTTACCGCAGTTTGAACCCTATAATCACTTGTATGTGTGAGTCAAGCTGCTATGGTAACGACGGGAAGCAACCCCAGTAATTAAACAATCAGCTCGTGTTTCTCTTTGTTTTCCAGTACTGTGTTTAAACTAGAACGTCCATAATTAGCATTGCTGTGGGGAGGGAGCTGTCATAGTGGAAGGTTGGTTTCTTGTGAGACACACCAGGCAGCTGTGCTCAGTTTCTTAGAAAAAGTCGTTATTGACACTTGCTTTGGTTTGTCGTTTGGCTCGTTAATTAAATTATACTGCCACCAAGGTCTTTATAAATTACACACCCACCAGTGATGCAGAAAGGCCAGGTTAAAGATTACTACGCCTACTTTCTCAAACCTTCCGCCTACTTTCGTGACATTGATTCTTGACTTAATGTGGCAGCGGTTTCACTGATTATCTTCCTTTGAATGACAAAACGTCCTAAATGCAAACAACATGCAACAGTAGCTCAATTACTGTTTCAGGTCTAATTTTAGCTCAAGTGGTCTAACACGCTATAGAATATTAAAGCTATAACACCAAAGAAAAAGACGGGATGGTCCTGACTTCCTTTTTAAAGCATTTATGACTTGTTGATGGAAATAATGGTCTTCGTAATATTTGTATGAAAACTGATGACCAGCCAGTCAGCCAATTATCTGGGTTCAAATGCAGAATTTTGAAACATACTTTTGAAATACGGCGAAAAACAAAACAAAAACAAGCAAACAAATAAATGTGGCTTGTTTCCACTAACTCCTCTGGAGTGAATAAACTAGTATTCATTATCAAGTGGTACTGTACATGTTTCATGCTGTCAGGAGATGAAGACAAAAGTAGCATAAACCACTAATCAGTTATGCAAGTTCAAAGTTCCCTACATCACTGCTAATATTTGGATGAAAGCCCAGTCGCTGCTGCTTTTCTTTTGTAAAGACCAAGGCTCACTATTTTGAGGGGACACTGTTGCTGCATCCTGGGCTTAGCTCTGCCCAAGACGATTATGATTGGTTTACAGAAATCTGAAACAAGGTTGTTCGGATAGTTTTTTTCCCCTATAGAATGATAATGAAGTGCAGCCACACCACTGTCTACTACAGAATGGCTTGGCTAAGCGAGACCAGGAGAAGACAAACGACGATGTCACTAACCCAACGAGGGCTGAGTTGTGTAGGTTAAAGTTGGATTAAAAGTTGACAACATGCAAATATGACGAGCATTAAAGCAAATTATTAGTGCTAATCTGTGTTCAATGAGTGACTCTGTTGTGGTATTTCAGGCATTGTTTCCCATTTCCTTTACATTTTGTGCTGGCTCTTAGACAATGTCCCACCTCTTTATGTTATGTACAATAGTTGAGTGTAGTATTTAATTGTAGGCTTTGCGTATGGCTTGTGCCATATCATTTGTGTCATGACTGCCAGATCACTGTGATTGTATTACTGTCAGAAAGGAGGAGGGCCAGTTGCTAGGTGACAAGATTGGCGAGTCAATCACAGCAGTGGTTTTCTCAAAAGATGTCAATTTTCCTGAAGTTTGGTTTGCAGCATTCAGGTAATTGGCACTGGGGTTTAAATATGAATGCAGGAGAGGTTTTTTGATATCCAAAAATCACAGAGAGTGGTGGCAAAAGTTTGTCGATTTCATCCATTGTGATTTAATATTGCTGGTGCAATTTTCTGAGCAAAACCAGCTGTTTTTTTGCCAAAACAATGAATTGGATTTGAAGTGTGTCTCCTTTAAGTCTAAAAAAAATCAAGTATGTGATGTCTTGATTTTAAACTACACACATAATAAGCTTCAAAAGGACAATATTGGGGTTGTTACATCAATCACATTGATATCTCTGCCCTTAGAAGTGTTATCACTGCTAAGTGGGATTGAGTCATAGTGGGAGCAACAGCTACTTTAGGCCTCTGGTAATTTGGCACTACAGTATATCAGGGTGAGTATCAGGTTTACTAAAAGTTTATATGCTGCTATACTCGATGTTTGTGCTTTGTCCTGAGGGCTAAAGACCGATGGTGGTTTCTAAGCTGTTCCACCAAACTGTAATGTGAGCTCCACATTATTATGCATGGTTTTTAGATGTAGTTCTCTCCTGACAAACCATTAGCACCCATCACAACAAAGCCACTCATGCGTAACACCAAACACACTCGAGACATTTACCAGATGCCCTCTACCCTTTTCAACAGGCACAATTCATTCCGGCGCCACCTGCCTCGTCAGATGAATGTCACCAGCGTTGACTTTAGCATGGACACAGTGCCTCTCCGCCAGTCTTCTACAGTGAGCATTGGAAGAATAAAACCAGAGCTCTACAAGCAGAAGTCTGTGGACTCAGAGGATGAGGCCAAAGAACCCGTGGAGACTTGTGGAAAGCTGAGCTTCTCGCTTCGTTACGACTACGAGGAGCAGGCTTTGGTGGTGAGAATCCTCAAGGCCTTGGACCTGCCCGCCAAAGACTTCACAGGCACCTCCGACCCCTACGTGAAGATCTACCTGCTACCTGAGAGGAAGAAGAAGTTCCAGACGCGAGTCCACCGCAAGAATTTGAACCCCATGTTTGATGAGACCTTCTCTTTCCCCGTGGTGTACGACGAGCTTTGCAACCGCAAACTGCATTTCAGCGTCTACGACTTTGATCGGTTCACTAGCCACGACATGATTGGCGAGGTGGTGGTGGACAACCTCTTTGAACTCTCTGATCTTTCCAGGGAGGCGGTGGTGTGGAAGGATATCCACGCAGCAACTACGGTGAGTAGGTGTTTACACTAAGACACTGCCAAACCCTCACATACGGGGACAATGCTGCTGTACAAAAAATGTTGCACCAAGCTTCTGTGCTGCCACTGAGATTAAAACAAGTAGTGAATGGAAATGGAAAGGTCTGATCAAGAAGTATTGTCCTGACTGAGTGTTGAGAGCCTGAACTCTTCAATTCTTTTCCACAGAAGTGGCAGGTCGAACACACTGTATAATTCAAATGCTTTGGGAAATGCATTTCATCAGGCAAACACCCACACACATTTTCCAGAAACTGCTGGGTATTCTGCAGACGTAATTATAGCAACATGAGAGTAAAAATATCCAGCATCAGGTACATATGACAACCAATCAATCTCTAATGCAGGTAGACAAACAGAGTACTGCAGGCAGCCTGTCCTCATATGAACTCCTTCCAGAGAAGATGTTAGTAATTTAGACCGAATGCATTTACTTCTGCATTAACACTAATCATAATTTGCTCATTAGCCTGTGCTTTACTGATAAAACAATACATATTATAAACACTAAGCCTTTGTTTTCAGGTCACTGAAGCTTCTGTCGACTAAATAAGTTGTAGAAAAACAACACATTTTTACTTTGCACAGAGATGAACTCAACTGGATTTTGTCTATCAAAAAAATGTTCAAGGTATTTATTTGCCTTCACATGAGAAGGTTGATGTATGTTGCTGTTTACTAAAAGCACAGATATTTAGGGTTGTCAAAGTTTATTATAACAAATGATCACATCAGTGGTTTCAGGCATCTGTTCCTTCATTTGTGGTTTTAAGGCTACTTTCAAAGACTGCAAGGAGATTATTCAAGGCTGATGTTCCTTCAATACTTGGTGCACTGAAGCTCCAAGGACTTGCTACACTATGCCAACACAGCCCTGTCTCCTAAACAATACGTTCCTATACAACTAATCTTTACATCCTGAGAGAAATACATTTTCTGCTGGACTATATTTGTCTCTGATGCATCACAAATACATTTCAAATCAACATGTTTTTGCCATTTATTCGATCAATGTACTGTCAGCCAACCAATCACATATTAGATGGGCTTTAGTTACTGTATGGTATGTGTACGTCTAACAGAGAGCTTTTATGATACATGAAGCATTTCCAAAGGGTTTGACAGTATAGGACTGTAAAATACGAGGTATTTGTTCAACTTTATGTTCGACTATAATTATACACATTACAACATCAGAGACCTGTGCTGCCAACAAGTGTGAAAATGTAGTCTTAGATAAAACCTTGCTCAGCTACAAAGAAAATTGCTGTATTGCTTTCAAGGTTTTCAGTTTTCATGGAGTTTAGTTCTCACATAAAAAAAAACCTGACCTGTTGGTTTCAAAAGCGAGATGTAAAATGTTTAATTTTGCTGCTCTTTGCTGCTCTTTGCAATGAGTCATCACAAAGTTTTCTACCTTGCTAGAACAGGGATGTTTAGGTTTGGAAGCACAGTAATAACAACTATAACTCAGGCTGGATACTGTCTGTAATGAAAGGCCAGAATTAGCACAAGTTTTAGCAAAAGCTACTGAATGAACAACATCAACATTAACTAAGTTAACTTAATTAACTTAACAACCTGTACCTACAACTTTCACGGTGTTGATTAATACTGAAATCATGACTTTTACGCCAGACTTTAATATATTTTCACTTTACTTTCCAGCTTTAATACATGTTAGCACTGTTTTTTCTTTTGATAGCAAATAAAACCCCTGATAAGCTTAGCAAGTAAAGCTTATCAGACAAAATGAAAAGCTGACAGCCGTGGTAGCTGCTCTGTGAAGTTAACATGCTCACAGTGGTGATATTAATATGTTGATTTTTATCAGATACTTAGTTTACCATGTAAGTATGCTAACAATTAATAATTACTACTTAACATAAAGTACAGCTGGTAATACGAATGCCATCAGCTATTCGAAGATTTGGTCAAAAACAAATGTTTTAATTAAAGCAAATTAAACAAACGGGCTAAAATGTTGACCTGATGATGGTGTTAGATTAAATGTTTTTGTTTGTTTTTTTTTAAATATTGCTCTAAAAACCAAAAATGTCAACCCCACTGTGGCTCCTTTTCGGTCATTAATTTAAACCGTAAAAACTTATTTCTGTGTATCAAAGTTACATATTTAAAGGTTTTTCAATGAAAATAACCCCTTCATGCCTTAAAATGACTTAGATGTAACTCTAAACTGTTGCTTCCTCTAGAATGAGCGAATATTCCCGCCTCAAGCATTAGAAAACTACAGTACACTACACAGTTGTAATATTGTAGTGATTCAAGTTGGCAGAATTAGTTCCTTTGGTTTGTTACACATGGAAGTTTGAGACGATCATCAGTACACTGCATTGTCAAAGTAAAAATGCTCAGTCATAGAGTTTACTACTTATTTTTGTAATGATGTGTTTTCTAGTATTAAAAAAAAACCAAAACACCATATGAACATGTTAACAAGACAAAAAAAAAAAACATGATTTTTACCAGAGAGGGAAATTCAGGGACTTATAATACAAAGTAAAATTCAGCCTCTGTTGACCGTAACTGTCTGTACAAAACTAAATGTCAAACCATCCAATAACTGTTAAGATATGTCTGTTTGGACCAACCAACAGTAGCATCCCCAGAAACAGCAATTAGGAACCTAGTGCTCAACATCTAGCAGATCAGATAACGGTGACAAATAAAAAAAGACGCATAGTTAATTTCAGCTGCCTATACAGCACTGAACGATTGAAAGAGACAGATATCATAATGGCCTACGATGCCACGCTAATTAAACGCTCAGTACTGGTGACCAAATGTGACCTACGTTACACCAACCCAGTCTCACGGCAATTTGTGAAATAGTCACGAAACTTAATCTATTGATTCGTGTTCAGGGACACGATTTGCCCACATTTTTCGGGGTTCCCAGCACAAATTTAAAACCTTGTCATTATGTTCATTTCTCTGTAAACAAATACAACTCTGAAAAGAAGGACACATGCAGGAAAACAGCAACTGGAAGATGTACTGTGATCGCAGCAATGAATATTCTGACTGTTGTAACTGAGAGGCCAGCGGTGGGGAATGTATCTGGAGCTTTGTGAAGCTTTTAGCTCGCTTTACCCCCCCTTTGGACCCAGCCCTGTGTCAAGTGTAGTTTTCCAGGAGACGTGTGAAGTTCAAGTGGATAAAATTAAATTAAAATAATTTTGTTCAACATAGTGGGTAAATTCTTCAATGAAAGCTTTGTTTTGACTTGCTGGAACCCATGGAGGTCATTTTTGGCGTCATTAAAGATGTTTTCCTGGTTAAATCCTGTTTCATACTATCCTAACCCCAACATTGAGGACATCCTTACCGGCTGCTTTATCTCTTCAGGAAAACAATTTCAGGGTTACACTCATTTATGTGTTTTAACAACAGTCATGTGGCTATATGGCTATACAGAATGTAATAATAATAATAATAACAACAATAATAACAATAATAATAACTTTATTTGTATAGCACCTTTAAGAACATTTCACAAAGTGCTTTGACAAGTAGAACATAAAATACAGGTAAAATGTCAGACAGGACGGGGCAAACCCAGGTAAAAACAATAAAAACTGCATGAAAACACATGTAAATACACACTGAAAAAAAAAAAATGTACAGAAAGGACAGGTAGTTAAAAACTGGTTAAAAGGACCAAATCACACAAGGGGGGTTAAGAGAGAAGCTGAATTTAAAAAATCAAGGATTAAAATGTGTTAAGATATGTAGCAGTTACTCCATGGCTTCTCATTTACCATAAATACACGATTATGTTATAAACACTCTCTAAGAGCCATACACATATATGTACAAGCAAGGCCTAATTTCTGTTGTAGTTACTCATTGCTTTTTCTTATTAAATGAGATTAAATGGTAAAAATTTATTTTCACCTATATGTATGAATTTCATTTGTAAAGTCAGTCCAAATAAACGTGTTCCTCATCAATTTAAACCCCTAACTGCACTTAAAGTTTTATATTTCACCCTACATTTAGGAGAAACGGCTATTTTGAAGGAAAGAACTACAACTTCCAGTGGCGTTACAATACAACATGATTGGACACGCCATGAAATATGTAGTTCTTCTTGGGGTTTACAACTACGGTTGTGTTTTTGTATTAATAGACTAATATAAACGGATTGAAGTACTGACAAATGTGCTACTGTTAAGTTATAATACGTGTAGTATGAAATAAGTGTAAAAGAGTACATCGTATTGTGGTATTTTTATAACACTGGCAGTGTTTGGGGAAAATATGTGCTCGGAAGAAGAAGAAGAAGAAGAAGAAGAAGAAGCCAGGCTGAGCTAACAGCGAATGTAGACAGTCTTGATGAGCGAGCTAAAAGCTTCACAAAGCTCCACATACATTCCCCACCGCTGGCCTCTCCCTTACAACAGTCAGATTATTCAACGCTGCCATCACAGTACATCTTCTGGTCACTGTGTTCCTTCATGTGTCCTTCTTTTCAGAGTTGTATTCGTTTGCAGAGAAATGACAGTGACGACGAGCATGTAGCCCAAACACAGTAAAAGCACTTATATTTTACCACAAATAAACGATAATAGCTATGAACGATATCGTTTTTGCCTTTTTCTATTTGAATGAATGCGGAGTTTATACACAGCGCCGACGTTTACAAAATGTTAACATTGGTCAGTGTGGGCGCACACATCTTTATAGTGATCTCTATAGTTATTAGTGGGGACAGGAAACAACAGGAAAACTGGTTAATGCCTGACTGTTGGAAGAAAAGAACTACAAAAACATCAAAGCATATGCGCTGTCTAATAGGGGAAAAAAACGTGGCCCAGACAGGAAAGATAATCCCAGCTGACATGTATTGGTTTGAAATTTGTGCCAGGGACACGAAAAATTTGGGCAAATCATTTCCCTGGACGCGAATCAATAGATCAAGTTTCGTGACTATTTCACGAATTGCCGTGAGACTGGATTGGTTACACGCCGACCTGTTTATGCCTCTGCTGTGGCATTTTGATTCACAGAATGTGGCTGAACCATTTAAAATGTGCTAAATGGATTCTGGTGTCTTTCTTTTTTTGTCCACCAGGAGAGTATTGACCTGGGAGAGATCATGTACTCGTTGTGCTATCTCCCCACAGCAGGGAGAATGACCCTAACAGTCATCAAATGCAGGAACCTCAAAGCCATGGACATCACAGGCTCTTCAGGTAAAACAAGGCTCACATCAAAAGCACAATTTGGCTATAAATTAAAAGTCTTAGTCAGTATTTTAACTGTACCTAACCTAAGTATTAAAAGACGGGTTCAAGGTACATTTAACAGCTTCCCTTTGGTATTTGTTTCTTAGCTTTGTTGGTTTAATCCTATTTAACTCTAACTTCAACATGTGCAAATGAACAAATAAATAAATACCAGTGAACTGGTGTCTCCCAGATCCGTATGTGAAGGTTTACCTGATATGTGATGGACGGAGGCTTAAGAAGCGAAAAACAACCACCAAGAAAAGCACACTTAATCCAGTGTACAATGAGGCCATCATCTTCGACATTCCCCCAGAGAATGTGGAACAAGTCAGTCTGTCCATCATGGTGATGGATTACGACCGGTGAGTTAAATACTCCATTTATACTATATGTACATGATGATGTACTTATTGTACTGTATGTTACTGTGTGTCCATCTGCCCATGTGTCTGTGAACAGTCCCTAGCTCGAGCGCTAAGGTCTAACCAGTTGATATTTCACAGGTGAGCTAGGAATGGCCTCTCCTCGTAATAATTAGATTTTGGGGTCAATCCATGAAAAAACAGCTCAGCTGGACGTCAAAGGTCACTTTTTAAAAAATGCTGTACCATGGCTGGCAGGAGCAACTATATCCCTCTCCTGAGGGTTGTCTAGTTTATGTTATAACCTAAAGTCAACAGAGTAGGTAGGTAAAGAGGAACATTTGCAGACATTTGTGGGTGCAGAAACAAAATATTAGAGTTTGCCTTTAATCAATAAAAGTCTTTAATACAGAGACTGATAATTACAGTGAAGTAGACCGCTTTTATGAGAGGTGATCAAAAAGTTCCAATCTGATCATGGTGTCCAATCTGACGGCAGTACCAGTGTTGCACACATTTTTGTGACCACTGGTGGTTGTGGATTTGTGGTTTCTTCACGTATCACAAATCGGAACAGAACGCAAACATCACATTCTGTGTCAGTCAGTACCTGGGATTAACCAGGCTTTATGTTGAGTGGAGGGTCTGCAGCTACTACTATGAGGAGAAACAGCAGTTTTCACAGTGGCAGAGCCTGAAGTCTCCGATGATTGGCAACTCAGTCTCCACAAAATGTAATTCTTATGCAGCTAAAATGCATTCTCAGTGACATTTGGAGAGAAAACTATTGTATGCCGAATTAAATTTGTTGTAATATAACACATTTCTAATCAATAAATCTTTCTTATTTATTTTATTGCTTTAGCTTTTAGCTCATTTTTTAGTCAACCAATTACGTATTTAATGGAGAGCGACTCATGACCGGGGAAACTTCAAACATGTAGTGAAAGGGTCGTATTTCAACCCAAAGTATTATATTTTTATTTACTCTAACCAAATAATTTTGGTGCCTAAACCAATATGTAAAAGTGTTCTCCAAAGCATGATATATTCCTAAACATAACTTCATTGTTTTGGTGCATAAACTTAACCAGAAAGTAAGTAAAACTAAAAGGAAACAACAGCAGAAAACGAAACTTAAACCCAAGACTGATGGTCCCTCGTCTGTCCCCCTGGTCTTTATGGTGAAAGTCCAGACACAGGCTTAAGCCTCCATCTCATCCTACTTTCTGACACTAAATACGTGGTTCTTTCAAACTGAACACCGTTCCCACAATGTCAAAGGTGAGAAAATACATATATTTCAAAACCAAGTTACACTTCCCTTAAAATGCAATTGAGACTGCAGTTTAGTTGTACAGGAACGTAATTTTGTGGAGACAAGGTTAAGATCATAGAAAGTGTATCAGGTCAGGAGTGCACCACAAATGAGTCCCTCAGGGTTTGACTGTCAAGGAAGAGTTCCTGAGGTGATTATGCACGGGCCACAACAACCCAATCATCACTCCCCCTCCCACCCTCCTCGCTAGATTTGGCTCCCTCTGACTTGTTTTAGTCGCCATTTTAACACAGTTTAGGAGATTCAGCGCTCATTGCAGATGGCACTTGACATGTTTACATAACAGGATTTCTAGGAAGCGTTGCAAGCACTGTAGGAGAGCTGCACAAGGAGACTCCTTCAGCAGGGATGGTGGCCAATTTTAAATCATCTGCAGTGCGAGATTTATACAGGTGTGGTCTCTGCGCTTTCTGATCTCCACTCATATTATGTTATAGAGGTCAGTTAAATTTATTGATTTTGACCTTCACAAACTTACAGTTTCTTTACAGGACAGTTCAAATAAAATAAAACATGCATTTACTCGTTAACGTGTGTGTTTTATTACTACCAGGGTCGGACACAATGAGGTGATCGGTGTGTGTCGCACTGGGCCAGAGGCTGAAGGCCTTGGACGAGATCACTGGAACGAAATGTTGGCTTACCCACGGAAACCCATCACACACTGGCATGCTCTGGGAGAGGTACAGACATGTTCTCTACTTTTATTCCTCACTCCATTTCCCCACTTTTTCAAATAACCCACATTTACAGAGCTTTTCAGAAGCTCTTGAATGCAACGTCAACCAGAATACACACAGTGCTCTGCATGGAAAAACAACAACACATCAGATTGTCAAGTTTTCTGTCATTGCAGTTGTGTGTTATTCAGCTCTTCCTTCTCTTACTTATGGAAAGAAAGCACGTCATTTTTGTTTTCCATTTTCTCTCTGCGGTTGTCAAATAAATCCCTTAAAACTCATTTCAAGTGTATCAAATTTACTCATTTAAATGTTTTCCCATAAATCCCTTCCTGTCTTAAAGTGGTTTAAATGAAACTCTGCACAACTATTTATTCTCAACCTTTTTTAGTTTTTCCTCCCGACTCATTGCAGCTCAAGCACACCAGCTCACTGACAGCTCTGCTCAGACAATCTAAAACCACTCCACACTGCACAATGGCAAGTTGGAGTAATTCAGCCGTACACGATCAATGTGGAAATTGATTCTAAAAAAGAACAATGAATTGTTAGTAAGAATTGTTTGTTTTGTATGTAACCCTGGAATCTGAATCCATGTTTTTGAGACTACGATTGGTCAATTGCAGTTTCTGTTCAAGAAACATATTCTACTATATAAAAAAAAAATGACCACACCTAGGTAAAAAAACAAAAGATTTCGACCAGAGAGCACCAGTGTTGTAAAACTCTGGAAAAAACAAAAACAGAAGTGAAAAATGTATTTATCATTTACTACATGGTTTTCAAAGATTATCTTCTAAAGTTTTAGGGACCGTGGCTGCAATTGCAAGCATATTCTAAACTATCAGCAAGCAGAACAAGTTGTTGACATTTTAATCTGGGATTAAAGGGTTTTATACCGGTCTACCTCTAAAAACCTGTTCATTTTCTTTGTGAAAATGACTAAAAAGAAACAATGAGCATGAAGGGATATTTTCAGATTTGGGGAGATTTATTAGCTGCTTTGCCCAAAGTCCAGTGAGAAGGTGAATTTCATCTCTATGTGCTCAGTACAGAGATAGCAAATGTATTTTGCAGGGGAAGCAGCTGGCCTAGCTTTGTCAAAGGTGGTCTCCAATGAATATAACATGTGTGCATTTAACACAGAAACAAACACAGGGAGCTTTGATGAGCAGTCAGCTTGTACATGTGAGTGTTTTCTCCATCAGCAGCAGTTACTCCTGTACTCACAGAGAAGTTGCCAGCTTTGCAGTCAGGTGATTCCTGGTGACTGCTTTGCATTCTAACAAAATAACATGTGGCACTAAGGCGATTCTAAAATTATTGGAAGTTTTTTTTTTTCTTTTGACAGAGGCTGTTTTGCTTCAGTTAATGTATTTTCATATTTTAAATGTTATCAATTCTTTTCCTCTTTTGCCACACCCACTCCGTACCTGACGAATAGGAAAATACAGGTGATTACACTTTTTTAGTGGTAAAACTACTCCAGGCTTTGATAAAAAAAAATCTGTGATCATAGGCAAAAAAAAAAAAACAAAAACGTGTAGCTCTTATTAAAACACTTGCATCATGAATACTCAGCTCATTTTAGTGAGCAACAGCCTGACTTGGTATACAGATCTATTCTTGGGCTTGCTGTGTGCAGTGGTACCAAAACAGAACTCTCTAATGACAGAGACGTTACCCTGATCAACAAAGAAGCAGGAGATGAGGCCTCTAATGAGTTCACACAAACGCACACACTGGCCCGTGAGCTCGAAAGAATCATGTGTTAAAAGCTGTACTCCATATGGTGAATTCATGTAATACCGAGCATGCACATGAAAACCAGGAAGGTGGCTTACGGATCCATTTAGTAATTCTGTGACACTCAGGACACTCGGGACATGATTTGACATAATGTAAGTGTAGCTACAAAAAGAAAACCCTCTGAACCTCAAGCAGCGTCTGGGTGTTTTTGCTCTCGTCATTTTTTACTTCAATCTAAAGTTCTGCGCCTCTATGGAAACAGCACAATCATGGCTAAAAGTAAAGAGAACTCAAAAATGTGCAGTATAACAGTTTTTTTCATTCTTTTTACATTTTTCCAAGTGCCCACAGGCATTACCAGTACTGGTAAAAATGGGGATACTATAAAGGTTTTACTACTTACATTTTTTTTTTTTTTTTTTTGTTGAATTTTTGAATGTTGAAACTCACAATTTTAAAGTTAAAAATTTGACTTTTTTTTTTTTTTTTTTTAAAGTGTTTCCTCTATGCTTTGTGTAAACACAACCTGTAGTTCAGCCCAGTTCAGCTGAAAAGTCCCTGAATTTTTGTCATGTGACTGCAGATCACAGCTAAGTCACTAATGGCCTCACAGGAGCCTGGAACTGTTAGTGTTTTACAGAATCCAGGTAGAGAAAAATGATTATTTTAGTGGAATATCCAAGTGAGACATGACCATGATCAACAACACAGACCAATGAAATGTCACAATTTCAGGCTTGGCTGACTTTCTCGTTCAAGGATCATGTGAAAGTAGAAAATCTGCTGACTTTTTGTGTCTTTACAGCTTCTTTCTGATAAATGGAGTTTTTATTTTTTTATTTTTAAAAAGATAATGTGCCTTTCAAACCTGGCGACAGGTTTTGTTGTTCAAAAGTTTTGCAGCAAGATCTGACCAAGCTGGACTAAATTTGCCTATGATCACAGTGAGACTGCACGATTAGAGAGATACCTGCTTAACTACCAAAAACCGATGGCATACCTCTGTAAAGCTGTGTGTTTTGTGATATTTTGCCTTGCAGTGGCCCGGAAGAGCAGCAAGCTTTGAGAGTCAAGGCTCGTGTCCTTCACCCAAACCTCCACAGACTCCCTGATGATCGCAGGTAGAGTCAGAACATCACCTCCGTAAGAAACCAGACGTTTGTTTAGTTTCTGAGAAGTCGTGTTGCCTATCACTTGCTTCAGAGTATGTTGTACGAAAACGAAACTCAACCCGATATGTTTCTGATGTGGTTGTACTGACATTATATGTATCGATTCAAATGCAAGTTTTTCAAGTGCTCTACAGAGCTGGCTATGCACAGCACTCACAGTCACTCAGTTCAAGAGTCAGTTTTTCATACACTTGCTTCAAAATTGTTCATTTGCCATCCATTTACGCAGACCACATGAATGGTAGGCCTTACTATAAGCAGTCCTTAGTAAAACCTTTCAATATTTTGAGCAACATTTTTCTAGCCCTAGAGCTCTTTAGTGTGTTACCATTTTACTTCAAAATGGCACAAAGTTAAAGGGCTACGCTGCTCAGTGCCATGAAAACACTTACTTTAAGAAACAGTCAATAAATCCAGTGACTCATGATCCAGGTTTGGGGGGGGGGGGGAACTGTATCTACAAGGGCTGGGTAAATCTCTCAGAAAATCCACCAGTCACAACAGGCCAACAGGACTCTCATGTTTAGAGAAACAGTAGCAGATACATGTAGCAAACAAATGTACAGAGATTAACAACAATCAAATGAACATGTCTTTGTAATAACTTCATAGTAAAGTTGTTTCTAAAACAGGCTGAACCTAACAAAAACCTAAAAATGACAAAGTGGTATTTATTTTTGTACACACCAGATCAATTTCAGTTCATAAAAGCAAACTGAAGCAGTATTAGTCAGAAAAAGCTTGAGTTAAAAGTGACGTAATACTAATGAACACTGTTATGTATGTCAGTGTTTAGGCTCCACATTCTATGGATATCTGGGATGATCTTTGTTATCTTTGCTAACAACTACCTATAGTAACCCAATGGGCAATATTCTACAATACTGAATTGGGTCCTATCCTTGACCACAGAAGATTTTAGGCTAACTTTAGCAGCTCTGTTGAATTTGTCCTACTTTATACCGATCAGCCACAACAAATAAGCCACAGGTGAAGGACAGGTAAAGTGAGTAACAATCATTATCTTGCGCCTCATAATGGGGTGGTTTGGCAGCAAGTCAACAGTTCTTGAAGTTGGAATATGTTGGAATTGGGGAAAAAAATGGGCAATATAAAGATCCGAGTGACTTTGACAAGAGCCAAATTGGCTGCACAATACGATGTAGGAAGAAGGTGAGCTGACAGAGGCAGCGTGATGCTTTGGGCAATGTTCTGCTGGGAACCATGGGTCCTGCAGCCAGTGGATGCTTCTTTGACAGGGACCACCTACATAAACACTGTTGCAGACAACAGCAAATGGGCTGCACCTAGATAGTGCTTTTCTGTCTTGCAGGACTCAAAAGCCTTACAGTGTTTTCTCATGCACCTACGGTGGTAGAGCTGCACTGAACCACCAACCTTTAGATTATTGGACAACCCACAGCTGCCACGATGCACATCCCTTCAAGGCAGCAGTATTCCCTGGTGATAGTGGCGTCTTTCCGCGGGATAATGCTCCCTGCTTACTTTACTACTTCTAAGACTTTGCTGATAACGTTTTAGTGCCTGATACCTCTGGACACCTCCAGGTGTCTTGAGTCCAGGCCTCGTAGGGTCAGTGTTGTTTTAGTAGCACAGGAGGGACTTAATTAGACTGGTGGTTTTAATGTTGTGGCTGATTGATGGGTAATGGGAAAACATGTTATCTGAGGTACTATTATAATCGCAGACAAATTGGTTAGTTCTCTTCCTAAAAGCGTTTTATCATCAGATATTAAAAGTGAAAGAGCAGAGTTTGGAAGCACACACAAGAATGCATAAATCTGACCTCTACCTTGCTTGTAAGCTCACGTTTGGCATTTGAACTTAAAAGAAAAGTAGTCATCTTTGACATTTGTCCTTAATATACTTCTATGATGACAAATAATTGACCAACTTGCTCGACACTGGAGTAAAAGGACAAGGCCATGTCTTCAACATGGATTATCAGTGTGTAAAGATGCTAAATTTTTTACTTGGGACATGGCCTCAGTCTTTCAGCGTGATATCCTACATGTAGTAGTCAGTGCATATTGAAGACCCCTTAAGTATGTTGACATTTTATTTTGGAAATAATAATCAGCAAGGTAGTTTCAGCTGGTATTTTGGGCAACAGAAAAAGAGAAGGTGGCTTTTGTCTTTCTGAAATTGGGAACCCAGCGTTTCTAAAAACTGATTACACATTGACTACATTGCTTTACAGGAACAACTGCAGCTAAGGATGTTAACGAACAGGTCATTTGCCAACATATATTAATGTATACAGTACCTCAATCTCAATCTAAACACTTGAGCAAGAAAAAAAATTATTTTACATCTTTTCCTCTGCAGTTATAAAGTCAGGGAATTCTAATTCATAAATACATTCCTTCCACACGCAGTCTAACATTTGCAGACATTATGTATGTTTTACATTGAGCCATACTGAATTACATTCAGTCCATCTAACACGAATCATCAACTCAGCTTCTCCTTATATGTGAGTAATAAGAAACTAATAAGAAATCAACATAGCAAATAGAAAAAAGGCTATGTACTGTTATCTTACTTGCACATGCAGTTAATGATGCTTTTTGCCCCTGCTTAATATTAAAAAGAAATATTTTTACTTGTAGCATGCCTGTCACCACTTAAAAAAAAAAAACACTCTTTGAAGGAAAATGTGAGTAATGAGTGTGTTAGAGTATTTAAAATTTTGAACTTTGTGTTTACAGTTGTATATATATACTTGTCTATGGCACCGTTTGTACATATTGAAAAGTGAAATTTAAGAAGCTGTCGTAAACTTATTGAAATAGAGACATCACAATGTATTTCTATTGTTTGGTGACACTTTGAACAGCTCAGACTTGTAGTCGAGTGAAATTTATTCTGTAATAGTTGTGAACAACTGGTCAAACTGGAAACTCAGTGAAGCCAACTCTACCTTATCAAGTTATTCCATGTTTAGGAGTTTAGAGCTTTGAGCTGTATTTGTTTGCCTATTGGTTGAATCTATATCGAGCAAGAACAACTGCAACTACTGTCATGATGTGTACAGTTTGTGATAACTTTTGTAACAACTTAAAGTAAACATTTGGGATATCATTTATTGTATCTGTTTCATATGTATTTTAACAACATAAATAAAAAATGAAGAGTCACAGAGTGTCTCTGTTTGTTTGGGAGGGCCAACATTAGGAGAGTCCAGTGGAATCTATCAGGATCTACAGGTGTCTGAAGTGGAGTGTCTTTATTTTGAGCATAATGTGGCAGCAGCTTGAAAGAAGGAGCTTAAACTCCCTTTGACAAGGTTTATTGCTTGTTTTTTAAACATATTTTTTCTATGCATTTTTGTCTACAGTCCATATACAAACACAGTTGTAGGCTAATGCAGACAGAGCTTGTGGGAAATCTCTTTCCATTGTCCAATACTCAGAAGCTCCATTTGCAGGGATAAGTGAGTCTTTGGCTTGAAATGTCAAAGTTGTGTCCTTTGTTTACATGAGGCTGTTTTGTCAAAACACTATGACAACTCATTTTAAAATTTAATAGCTGAGTTTCACCATCCAGAATTAAAATTTAATTTTGTCTCATCCAGTAGTGCCACTGTAGCTAATCACAATTTTTATTCAGGATATAACATTATTCTGATTGAGATATTTGATTTTTCTTTTTTTGTTTAAGTTGGACAACTGTTGCAAATATCTCAAATGTCATTCTCACTAGTCTGAATTGTTGTGCATGATGCTGCTCATGCCAGACCAGCAAAGCATATGAACAGTGTAAACAGAAGTAATAGTGGCCGCTGTGGTAGATAAGATGAGAATATAGAAAATCTAATGGGATAGATCTTTTGATATAGTTTTTGATACAATGCTACAGAAGAGCCAGCAGCACTTTCATTGCTCTGACTGGCTGCATGTCTATCTGACTGCAACCAGCAGCATTTTGGTCAACACCCGCTTACAGCACCCGTGGGGAGGGATTCCAGACTAATTTATATTACCATATTTGTCTAGCAATGCCAGTCGAGCCTTTTATAAGTGGTTTCTTAGTATGCAGTCAAGACAATAATAAACACTAACAAGACAATAACAAAAGTACTTTTTTTCCCTCAAGTGGAGAACAGGCGGTGCAGTCTGCATTTAAAGTGGCATAATTATTCAAAATGAAACAACTCCGTCAGTGTGCTGGACAGCCGTTATTGAAATAGTAGAAAGAGAATATTTGTTATAAAATTTTTCCAAAAAATGCAGAGCAGTGATTCATTTCACAGCTGTTACAACTAATGGCACTTAAAAGTGGGATAGTAAAGTAGCCCCTGTCTTTTTCTGAACGCTTGTTTTTCTTTATGCCTGAGGTCGGCTGGCGCCAGGCTGCGTCCTTGAACTACGGCTATAACAAATGTTAGATAACCACTCCAGTGAGCGAGACGAGGTCTGTGCTTTTAAGAAATAAAAAGCTTGTGAGATAGGTGGCTCCTTCGTGCTCACCCAGCATCCGTTTGATGGTGAAACATGAAGAGAACATTTTGATCTCTCATGCAGCGTGACATGCAGCACAAATTTCTTTTGATCCATGATATTGGATGGAAACAAACAAAAGGAGGGGGGGTGTTGCATTAGTTTCCTTGGCAATGAAAGCTGCCCACTATCTGTATGCTAAACCCATATTTAGAGTGGAGTTGTAGCTTTACTTAGCAATGGCTGATAGCTCCATGTGGTGATGCATGTAATTACAGCTTTGTAATTTCCTGAATGCTTTTTTGTGCTGGGTATTTAACACCAGCGCTCTATGAAGACTTAGGAGGAGATTGGACAGGCTGTGTGGCGAGCGTCAACAGTGCACCTGCAGGATTAGCCATGATTTGGGGGGAATTATCCATCCCAGTTTGACGATGTCTACATGGAACATGTAAAATACAGATGAGAGCTTCTATTAAGTAGCTGAAGACGATCCTGTTTTCAACAATGGCACCTCGGAAGACTTTAATTAGTCATCACTGGCTTATCAAAGAGCCTCAGTGCTGGCAATATCAATCCCATTTAATGAAAAAGATTTAATACACTACAAACAACATCCTATTCTTAATGTTAAT